GGATCCCGCTGCTGCAGCCTGAGGAGATGCTGTGGGTGTAGCACATCTCCGCGGCAACCTGAGTGCCTGTGGGGCCAGGAGCAGTGAGTCCTCCAGCTCAGGACTGGCAGCCACCTGGCAGGCCAGCAGGTCCCACACCCAGGGCTCCTGCCCGCCTCACCTGGCCCCCACAGGTCCCGGCACCTCTGGGCCAGTGTGGGGCACTTCCCGTTGTAGCAGTAGCCCCCAGGGCAGGGCGTGCCATTCTCCTGGAAGGCGTCCTCCGGACAGGCTGGCTGCTGGCCGTCACAGTACTCCCCGAGGTCACATAAGTCCTTCTCGGGGCGGCAGGGCTCTCCAGCTGGCTTCACCTGGTCCAGCAGAGCAAAGCTCACCATGGGAATAGAGGACCCCAGCACCCACGCCTGCCCTGCGCCGTGTCACCAGCACCCCCGGGCCCGTGCTCACCCTGCACTCATGGCAGCAGGCGCCGTGGGCACACTCGGCCCCCTCGGCCAGCAGGCAGGTGGTGGCATTGCAGCAGTGGTTCTGGCAGTCCTAGGGGCAGGCGCAGGGGCAGCGGTCCGAGCCGACCCAGGGCCCCTCCCCCGGGAGGTCCGCTCACTCCCACCCGTGACCCCTGCCAGTCCGGTCAGTGCCAGGGAGCAGCAGGTGCGGCTGTGGGTGTGCAGGGCACCTGGGAGGTCAGGAGTGGACGCCCTGACCTGGGGACGGGGACCCCGCACCCCTACGCTGGTGGAGAGCAGAGGGCAGCGGGATGCTCGGCCCTGTACCTGGGGCGAGCCACAGTCGCACTGCTCCCCGTGCTCCACAAACCGGTTCCCACACACAGGGCCGCCCACCAGCCGGCTGAGGTCCGGGGGGTTCACCAGGCAGGCCGTCCTCGGCTTCTCCACAAACGTCTCCAGGTCGGTCTGGCTGCACTGGCTGAACTTTCTGGGGAACTTGGAGCTAAGGGGAGGGCATCCCTGTCATGGTGGTGGGCAGGCCGCCAGCCCCCAGGGTGCCCCCAGGGTGGATGGGGCCGGGCCTCACCCAATGCTGGCCGCCATGATGCAGCCACCGTCGGACCGTGGCACGGGGCAGTAGCAGCCCTGCACATTCTCATCGTGGTCCATGCCCAGGTTGTGGCCCATCTCGTGGGCCATGGTGCTCGCCACGCCAATGGGGTTCGGGCTGTGGTCCTGCAGGCAGGGCTGTGCTGGCTGGGGCCGCTCACATGGCCCGTCCACCCTCCCGCCCTGGCTGCCCCAAGCAGGCTGAGGGCCTTGGTGGCACTTCCTGCCAACATCACTTCTTAAAACGTAAAAGCATCAGTGCCTCTTCCAAAAGAGGAAGCTGCTCAGGTGTCCAGACAATAGCGTGGGGGGACGAGCAGGTGGACCTGAGTCCTGAGGTCCCCCTCATACATCCGAGCTCCAGCTCTTGAGCCCTGCTCCCCACCCAGCGGCCAGCTCCAGCCTTTTTCCAGCAAAACCTAGGCCGGATCTCCACACCTGGTTCACAGCCCCCGAGCCCTGGAAGCACATGGCGGACACCTTGGCCAGTCCCACGGTGGTCCCGGTGAAGTCAATCCCTCTGGAAACGAGAGCAGTGTCTGCATGGGGACACCCCGGGACCACCCTGGTGCCCCTCTCCCAGCCCCATGTGTGGTCCTCTGCCCCCGCTCACGTGATGAGCTGCGCGTTGTCGTGGGGGCGGCGCCCTGCCAGTTCCCGAGCCTGCCAGGCCAGGAAGTTCTCCAGGGTGGCGTTGGCCTGGGAGCTGATGTGAATCTTGTCCCCACTGTTCCAGATCTCCAGGCCCACCAGCACCACACGGAAATTCAGTTCTTGATAAAGCTGGGAGAACAGGGGTCCCGAGGGTCAGGTTCAAGATGGTTAGGCCGGTGAGAGGGCCGGCGCCCCTCAGGCAGTGTCCATGCGATGGACTTGTCACCAGTACAGGGCCAAGTCCCAGCTCCCTCCTCTCCTGGCTCTACCTGCTGCCAGGCCCATCACAGCCAGCCCCTCCTCTCCTCTTCAGGTGCCGTCAAACCTCCACAATCAGGGTTTCTGTTGGGCTGGAGTCTGCCTGGTCTGGAATGGACCCGGATGTCCTGGAAGTCCCTGCTGGGAGGACCCCTAGCAGCCCCTAGAGGAGAACCCCCACCCCGGCAGAAGTGGCCCCTACCTTGTCCACGTGGTTCACCACCTCCAGCACCCGCCTGCGCACGGCTTCTCTGCTCCCCAGCTGTTGGAACTGGGGGACAGCGGACCCTCAGGTTACAGCCCGTCAGCCGTCTGGGTCCTGCCCCCCTGTGCCCACCCCACATACCTCTGTGCTGTCCGTGACCACGTACAGCTCCACGTAGCGGGTCTCTCGGGATAGTGGCCAGTTCTGAGGGGCAGTGGCAGGAAACCGGTCAGCCACAGCCACAGCCCTGCTGTCCTTAGACAGCCTTCACACACTGACCCCACACAGTGCTCGGGGAAGCCAGGACTGGGCCCACCCCAGTACAGGGCAGCAGGCAGCACCCCCACTTCGTTGAGCACACAGGAGTCTGGGGGCTGCAGGGGCCCAAGTGGACGGGGATGAAGTGAGTCAGGCCCCCCTCACCCGGGGCCTGAAGGCTGCCGAGATCCGCGGCCCCAAGGCGCTCTGCAGGTTGCTGTCGCTGACCCCACAGGTGCCAGCCTTCTGCCGCAGATGCCTTGCCTGGTACAGCGCGTGCTGCTCCTCCTCCCCGCCCACTTCCAGGGGCTCAATCAGGTGGAAAGCGGAGCCGGCCTGGAAGAAGCCCCTGGCAGAGGGAGCAGGTGGCTTGGGGTTAGTCAGTCCCCTGCCTGCCCCTCCAGGGAGGCACAGGCGGCCCTGGCCAGCGACATGCAGCAGGACAGTGCCTTCAGGGCCCTGCGGGGGCCTGTGACATCTAACTGGGGCCCCGACACCCCAGTGCAGCAGGTGTCCCCAGGTCCCCCCTCTCTTCTGGGCCTCGGTTCACCTCCCTGGAGACGGAGGAGTGCGTTGGGCCCTGACACTGACATGCCTGGCCCAGGGCTGCAGCACCCACCTGAGACCAGCACAGGTGCTGAGGCTGGCGGCGGAGTGCTGGTACCCCTCCACGTGGCCCTGGTAGAAGCAGTGATCCTGCAGGAGGAGGGCATGAAGACCCTGCTCTAGTGCCCCAACTCCCAGCACCCCCACTGCCAGCCTGGAGAGGGCCACCCTGGGGCCCATACCTGCCTCTGCAGCTGCTCGGTCACCTGGGAGCCATTGTCAGCCACGTAGGTCTCCATGTAGCCTGAGCCCACCAGGTCCCTGGAAAAGAGCCCCTGTGGCACTCTGGGCCCCACTTGATTTCCCCTAGAAGCCACCTCTGGTGTGGAGGGGCTGGGCCAGGGGGGCAGGACGCCTGGGACACAGGAGTGCTGGGGGCAGGAGAGGGACCAGCCTGGGGACCGAGACCTGGGCAGGCTCAGACCCTGCTCACCTGTTCTTCCGAAGGTGCAGGGTGTAGTTGTGCCCTCGGGCCCCCAGGATATAGCTCACGCTCTCTGGGTACAGGCCCTGAGCCAGGGGAAAAGGGAGGAGTCCACGATGAAGGGCCCTGCCCCAGCCACGTTCACTTCAAAGCTGGGGGTGGCTGAGTCAGGCCAGTGGAAGGAGGTAGGGCCCAAGGCTGCACTGGAAGGGTCAGGGCAGCAGGGAGCTCCACCCAGAACCACACCGGGCCCCTCCAGGCTTACATCCCCCATATGTCCATGCAGGGAGAGTGACAACATCCCTTTTCCAGGAAGAAAGGGGTGGGAGACAGCTTCTGACAGACAACCCTAGAACCAAGGCAGCAGAGGTGTGGGGCGGGGCCGTCCCTCCTACAGCAGGTGAGCTTTCGACCTTGGGCCCAATTTGAGGGGCGCTCCTGCCAGCTGCTGGCCCCTTGGGACAGTGTGTGCCATGTCACAGGGTGGGCTGAGGGCCCAGGTGGCAGGCGGCTCTTCTGCACTGAGGTCAGGATGGGGCTGTCCTCTGCCGCCACACGCACGCACACACACACACCACATACACACGGGCACACACATACACATATACACACCACACACACTCACATGCACGGACGGACGGACACACATACACACACACACACACACACACACTCACACAGGTAAACCCATCCTCATGCGCACTTGACGCAGGAATGCCCCCGGGCAGCCCCGGGGAATCCCCGCCCCAGATGTCCGAGAAAGGTGTAATGCTACACGCCCTGGGGAGCCACCCCCTCCCATCTAAGAGGAATCTGATCGCTGGAGTGAAACTGAGGAGTGGCCCAACCAGCGTGGTTCCTGAAAGGAAGACAGGGCAGCTGCAGTGGGTGCCACCCCACGCAGGGTGTGCGTGAGGCTGAGGACGGAAGGTGAGGCCGAGGACGGAAGGTGAGGCCTGGGGGAAGGGGGTGGCTTGGACAGAGACCGCCCAAGTGGGCTGAGCCCCCTCCATGGTTTGCCCCAAATCCAGAAGTCCACCTGGCCCTCAGCACCAAAGGCCACCCTCCACATCGGGCTGGGCTATCATCTCACTCTCAGAAGGAAACTGGCTCAGAGGGATGGGGTGAGCGAGGTGGGGAACCCCAGGCCAGCTTCCTGTCGAGACTTACCAAGTGGGAGGGCAGGGCTCGGCGGGTGCGGGTTCCTGGCAGGCGCCGGGGCTGCACCACCTCGTACTGCTCCACGTGGGGCAGAGCGGCCCTGGGGGCGACCACTGCGGGAGAGCCCCCGGCGTGAGCAGGCGCACGGGCACTCTCTGGCCCTGGGGCTCCCTCCCCACAAGGAATCGCCTGGAAACTCTGAGGTCTGAGGTCGAGCTCCCAAGCCCAAGTAGGAGCTCAGCATTAAAAAGACCATCAGACCCCCACCCTGGGTGAAGCCAGGCAGACTTGTGCCTGGCAGTGCCCAGGGATCCTGCCCGGCGCCAGCCCTTCCAGGGGCCCACCAGGCTGCCCCCGGTGCTCAGGGTGGCCCAGACATCTTGCTCAGGAACTGAGGATGCGCACTGGCCCCGGAGGGGGCGGGTCTGCCCACCCAGCACCTGTGGTTTATACTTCTCAACTAACCACAGAACTGCCTTGAGCTGGGACCTGGCAGCCCCCACCCCTGCCTGCAGGCAGCTCACGTAGCCCAGACCTGGAAGTTGTCCCACAGCCAACGACCGCCTCATGGTGCCCCCACACCTCGGCCCCAGGCCGTTGGTCCTCAGTCCTCTCTTCCCTGCCAGGCTGGGGGATCCCAGTGAGGGTGGGCTATCTCCCCAGGGCCCCAGGATGGAGGGGAAGCGGCAGGGTCCTCCACCCTGCTGTGTCCCTGCCCCAGCCCCCACCTCCAGCGCAGGAAGTGCCAGGTGCCGGTTCTCAACAGTTCCCTTTTGAAGGTTCTGTGTCCGCTGCCCAGGGCCTCTCCGCTGAGTGACCACCTCTGCTCCTCCTGATTCCCAGATATCAGCCCTGAGCCCCGTGGGGGACACAGAGGGCCAAGTGACCGAACCAGCCAGAGTGGGATGCGCATCACTCACCCTGCAGCCACAGCACACTGAGCAGCAGGAGCCCGAGGCCGTGCATGATGGGGTGGTGGTGGGGGTAGTGCGGGCGATTGCCCAGGGGTCCGGGTTGGAAGTTCGGAGCTCCGGGGACACCGCGCGTGGGGAGACGCAGCTCCGTGTCCAGACTGAGTTTGGTCCTGCGCTCAGCTAGATTTATTCCCGCGCGCCCCGCCCAGCAACCAGACCCTGGCCCGCAGCCAATCAGCCCCTCAGAAGCCGGGAGGGGCGGGACCTGGCCATGAGTGGGCGGGGCCAACACCTCTCCACAGGTCCTCTGGGGGCTCCTGGACAGTGTCAGGTATCCAGTGTCCAGCACACGGAAGCTTCATACATCTGCTCTGAATGAACGCAGGGGGAAGTGGACAGACTAACCCGGGGCACTCCTGCAACTCTGCATCCCCATGCAGGCGAGGAAACGGGCTGGGGTGCTGGCCCTGCTGGGGGAGGGGAGGAGCATAAGTGACAGAAAGATTGTGTGTGGGGGAGGAGCCTCTGCCAGGGAGCAAGGTTTGGGAGGTGCACCTTGACTTACGGGGAACAGAAAGCTCCAGCTGTCTGTGGCCAGCCCTATGGGGTGGGTGCCCCTCCAGGCCCTGGGTCCTGCCTGCAGGCTCCTGAGGCCTCACTGGGGAGACTGAGCAGGGGGAGCACACAGGTGGGGCTCCAGGCCAGGTGCTGGGCAGCTCTGGGTCCCTACGGGTCAAGGCCTGCAGCTCCTGGCACAGCAACTGGATGCAGCCTGCCCGCTGGTGCCTCCCCTCGTTCCTGCCAGCCCTGGGTGGATGGGGCTGCCCTACTCTGGCCAGGGACCTGGGACCCGGGCCTTCTGCGGCTGAGCCGGCCAGTGGCACCCAAACCTTATTCTGGACGTGTTCTCTGGGATGGACAGTGGAGCATGTCAAAGTGTCAGGTAAAATGGAGTGGCACCCACAGCTGGTACCAGACCAGAGGTCACAGCTCAGCAGACCGTCATCTCCCATGAAGTGAATGGCGAAAGAAACAAGGCAGGAGGAGCTCGCGCACACACGGCGTGTCTGGGGCAGGGGACAGGCCCTGGGGCCAGAGCGAGCAGGGCACAGGCAGCACCTGTCCCCGAGCTCATGCAGCCGTACAACCAGGCACACAAGCCACCCAAAATCCCTGACAAGTTTACTTCTCTTCTTTGGTCACACACTGCACGTCATCTGATAGCAGAAGTTCAAAGGCAGCATGTCCCTATTTGGGCAAAAACACCAGCCACTGGGACTGTGCACTGACCACAATGCGCAGCTAACTAACAGGGACTCGGCAATGGCAGCCAGGACCTCCCTCATCACAAGGACCCCCCCCACCCAGCCTCCAGGATGCGCCCCTCCGCCACCACCACCTGCAACTGGAGGTGTCTGGGGACAGGGACCCCGGGGTCTGGGCCTCGGGGCTGGGCAGGAGGGCCAGCAGCTGGCTCTGGTCAGCCCCCGTGTTGCACAAGCCAGGACTGTGGCAACTGGGGTTGTAAACTTGTTTACGCACAGGTCATACTTGCCCACACTGTAGCTTAAAAGAGGAAGCAGCCTGTGGCAGGAGTCCAGCCACTCAGGGAGGGGTGCCCCCCTCCCTGGGAGAACCCCGTCATGCCACCTCATCTGCCCAGGGTCCACCTGGACAGAGCAGGGGTCCGAAGTGAATTTTGAAAATAACGTACGTGGAATTCAGCAGGAAGGGGCAGCTTGGCTGGGAGCGGAGCACATAGATGTTCAAGGCAGGTCACACTGGGACTGGCCATTCCCCCTACTGCCCGTCGAGGGGGCCGGACACGGCTGGGCCTAATGGACGGGGGCCTGGGCCTCAGCCGCAGCAGGGTAGCTCTTCCTCTGCTCTGCGGGCACCTGGGAGATGCACCCAGGCGGTTCCCGCTACAGGGCGTGGGCCATGCTGCCCTCTGCTGCCTGGAGCAAGCCAGCCGGCTGGAGGGGCCAGGCTGACCCCGGGAGCCCATCCCCCAGTCACACCGACAGGTGGGGACACAAGGCCCACACCTCCCCCACATGGCATCTTGGTGACTGTCCTGATGTTGCCCAAAAGCCATGTGTTTTTACTTTATCTTATTTGAGACCAACACACTCTTCAGGGTGACTTCAACTCAGGAGAGCACGCAGGAGAGCAGACCTCTGTCTGGGATTGTGAACCAAGAGATGGGAGCTGAGCGCAGGTGACTGCAGGCTTTATGTTTAAGCAGAACCCGGGGCACATGCGACCCAGGAACGTCTGGGGAAAACCTCCAAACCCATTCGCTCACGCCACTGGGGCTGTGGTGCTGCGGCTGGCCTCACTGCGCAGTGACCGCGATCCTGGGCGTTGGAGCCGGGGGCCCCCGTGGCAAGGGCGCTGCGGGGGCCGCCTTCTGGCTCCTCTCTGCGGACAGGCGCTCCAGCCGCTCGGTGTAGAAGCCGTTGAAGTCGAGCCTGTGGGGGAAAGCAGGCTGTGTCCCTGCAGACGCCCCCAGGTCGGGGTGGAGATTCCTCCCTCAGTGGCCCTGCAGGTGACCCTCCTTTCCCCACCACGGTGAAGGGCTGGCTCCACCCTGGACAGGAGGGCGCTCAGTCACCAGCACACAAACACGGCCCCAGGCTCCACACAGCCTTCACCTGCAACACGGAGACTGAACTTACACACTTGGGGAAACTAAAGGCAAGACAAACATCTCCAGCCCCTGGACGTCGGGGCTCCCTGAACCCTGGTGCCCAGGACATCGGGACGCCTGTGGGTGGAACAGGGCAGTCCCAATGTCTGGCTCTACCTAAGGCCACCCAACAGGAGCCTTCCCAGGGAACGATCGCCCCCCGACCTCCACCCAGTGAGCAGGCCCATCACCTCCGCTCTGAGGAGCTGTGCACCCAGGGTCCTTGGGGTAACAGAAACCTGCCAGCCCCAGAACCATCAGCCGCACCGATCAGCCCGCTGATCACCACGCACCCGTCCTCACCACTTCTGCACAGCCCTACCCAGGGTTCCTCCCAGATTCCTCTGCCTCCTGCACACGGGCTGCCCCGGGCTCCCCAGATGTGTACCCCAGGACTGTAGCATCATGGCCCTTGAGGTGCTGGCCTGAGAGGTGTGGCCAGACCCCCACACCCAACATGGAAGGCTGAGTGAGCACTGCCCTGACCCTTACTGACCCTCCCAGCGATCTCCTGACCAGCCGACATCGGGAGGACAGCACCTCCCACTGTTCACCTAGCGAGGGTGATGGCCAGGGCTGGGGCCCAAGGGGCCTGGGCAGCATCCTGGGTCCTGGCTGGGGTGAGACACACAAACTAGGGGTGCTGACGGGGTGGCCTGACTTGTACTGGTCAACACACACAGGACACACCTGTGAACACACACAGACTGTCTCTCCAGCGAATGACAAGTAACCAGCAGCAGCATGACAAAGCCAAGGACAGCATCCTTGGCAGAGTAGACACGGCCTCAGTCACACCTCAGTGATGGTGAGAGGACGTGGCGGGGCAGGGAGCAGACTTGGGCGTGGGCCCTGCGGTCACTGTGTGTGGTAGAAAGGGGGCCACCCTTTCCGCGGGGCTGGAGGCAGCGACACCCACCTGGAGATGACGCTGGCCATGCCGTGCTCGCAGTCACTGGTGCTGTAGAGGCTCAGCTGGGCCAGGAGGTCCAGCAGATGGGCCGAGAAATTCTGGTCAAACTTACTGATGGTGGCCTCGAAGCTGGAGGCCAGCTGCGGCGTGTCCACATGCTCGGCCAGGCACTGCAAGACACAGAAGCCCTCCTGCTGCTCATCCTCCCTTCTCTTCTCTCTTTCTTTCAAATAGGAGAACATGTCTCGGGAAGTTTTCAGGTGACAAGAGATAGAGGATCAGGGCACCGTGAAAACTCGAGACGGCAGGATGCAGAGACACAGTCCGGGCAGCAGGCCCGCGGATGTCTGTGGACGGCAAGTTTCTCCCTGTAGCTCAGATTCTCAAGCCGACGGTGTTGTCTCCTGGCCACCGCTCAGCACAGAGCACAGAGAAGGGAACCCAGAGTGCCTGCCTGGGCTCACCTCCCCACTCCCTGCTGACCACCTGACCCTCCTGGTTACGGAAAGACTCCAGTCACCGTGACTGCAGGGCCCGCAGCCCCGAGCCTCCGCAGGTGGCACCCTGGCTCAGCCCCACAGCACCACTCTGGTAACGTGGCCTCGCTCTGGGCATAGAGGACTGAGGTTTACATGAAGCGGTGGGGAGATACTCTGGTTTGTGTTTGGAACCTAATTTAAGATGATCTTTATTTTACTCAGAGGGAAGCCAGGAATGGAAGGATGGCAGTGGATCAGGTCTGAGTGCTGCGACCCTAATGGTGTCAGATCTGAGCGGGAACAGGAGGGTCTCCGAAACAAACTGAAAGGCCACTCACCTTGCGGGCAAGCTCCCTGCGGGCGCGCTCCTCTGGGTGCTCAGCCTCCTCCACGGGCGGCCCCGGCACCGCGCTGCGCTCCAGCGCCAGGCCGCCCAGCTCACTGTCCACCTTCATGCTCTGCGTGAATCTCTTGGGGGTCAGGAAGAAATGTGCGCCAACTATGACCACTCAACTCCAAGGGAAACGCTGCCCCTGTGCGTCCGGGACAGGCTCTGCAGGACTCAGGTCACATGCTCATGGCCTGCCGCCGCCCACCCAACTGGAGCCCCCAAGGTCCCAAGGCCCGACCCCAGTGGGCGCACCTGCATGCAGTTGGTGAACATGACGCACACGGACATGAGCTTGGAGAAGGCCCTGAGCAGCGCGGGGGTGGTCAGCATGCAGTCCTTCAGACAGCTGTCCAGGAAGCCCGCGTGGTGCCCCAGCACATCGTCGATGTTGGAGGCCTGGGCAGCGGACACCGGCCTTTTCTCAGAATGACTGTGCCAGGCACAGCCCCGTGCACAAATCTTCCCAGGGTCTTTGCAGGAAGACTTCAAAATACCGCTAAGAGCACACACCAAATGTGCCCCCCAAAGCGCCAAGCTTTTTAAGAGAGAAAACACAGAAGTGCTCTGTGCCCTTCCCACTCCCAGAACTTGGGGCGTGAACCCTGTGGCTGGCAGCCCTGGACAGGAGCGCTGGCCCAGCTGTGAGGCCCCATGGGAACACACGTGCTCCTCCGGCAGCCGGACTCCTAGTGGCCCTAAACCCTGGTCACCCTGGAGGGAACCCCCCATGGCCACCTCTCCTGACGATGCTCTGGTGGCGTCTCAGGAGCTGTGGGGTCAGCCCCTCCCTGGCACCTGACCTGCTCCCTGTCTGCAGACACTACTAAGTGCCATTGTGAGGAGGCCAAACTCACGGACTTCAGGTTTTTCTCCAGGACGTGCCAGGTCGGCTCCATCACCTCGAACATCATGTAGTACTGGATGTTCTGGACGAAGTTGAGCATCCGCTGCCGCAGCGTGAAGGCACCAGCGAACCTGCGCGAGGGTGCAGGTCACAGACGCACAGCCGCAGCCCCTGTGCCTGAGGGTCCACCCCCGCCCCCCTGCCGAATATGCGACGCATCGTCAGGGACCACCCCGCCCTGTGTGTGCAGTGTCGTCAGGGACCACCCCCACTGAGTGGGGTGCGTTGTCAGGGTCCACCCCCTCCCCAACAGTTCCCACCACTGAGCGGCGGTGGCTCACAAGGGCTCGGCCACTCCACTAGCCAAGCACCCAGCCATCCTGTGCAGCAGGAAAGGTCCTAAATTAGAAGCTGTGAACACGCATCCCCAGATCTCTGTCTTCAGGCTATGGAGAGGGTGCAGCTCTGCCCTGTGGGAACCCTGGGAGCAGACAGGACGTACCACTTGGCAGAGTGCAGAGAGCATTGCTTGGCGGCTTTGTTGCTGATCCAAACGTTGCAGAGCTGCCGCTCCACGTGCTTGCAGTAGAACATGTGTCTGAAGAGCATCTGATAGCGCGTCAGGGCCTTCCTACCAGGAAGGAAAAGGCAGCGGCATCTGACTGACGCCGCTGGTCGTCGATGGTGCCAGACATCGTCTGAGAGGCTCACAGTATGGAGCATGCCCTAGGTGGCCAGTAACCCCGAGGGGCACAATCAGACGTGGAGACTCTGCCGCCCACCTGTTGATGATCAGAGACAGGGGCCACTTCACCACGTAGTCGAAGGAGAAGGCCTCCAGGCCGGTCAGCGAGAGCTCAGTGGGGTCGGCATGGACCATGGCCTTCTCCTGCTTGGTCTCGATGGCCAGAACCCGCAGAAGCTGGGTGATGAGGTCATGAGGCATCAGGTCAATCTTGGGGACAGAGAAATGGAAAAGCATCAGGTCCTGACCCCTACCCAACCCTGCATCACAAACTAGAAAAGCAGACTCTCAATCTTGGAGGCTGGTTTAAAACACCAAACATCTACTGATAAACCCTAATGAAGAAATTAAACCACCTCCCGCCGAAGTGGAAAAAGCAGAGCACAGAGGAATCACTCCGAAAACACCCCTGACGGTAAAGTGCGGCGCGAGGGATGGCTGGAAACCTTCCACCGCCAGCACACAGGCCCAGGCCATGGTGAGGGCGGTGCAGTTGTTCTCGGCAGGGCGCGCTGTCCACACGTCACTCTGTTCAAATACTCACGAGGGCCACTGACACACCAGACAGCAGGATGATTCCCACAAACTGATGAAGAGCGAGAGGATGGAGGATGGCAGTTGGCAGGAGCGGAAACAGAATCAGCAGTGACACCCTCCCATCACACGCCACAGAAACGGACACCAAACAGCTGTGCCTCTCACGCCAGGCCCACCCAGTGGCAGCCCTGAGTGCCCGGGACCCAGTGCCAGTGCTGTCAGTCCAGCCATGCGCTGGCCAGGCGCATCCATCCGAGAACCTGGCCTCCAGGACTTTATCCTATGAAAACACGCTTTTGCCTCACCATCGGAAGCAAGGACTGGCAGAACTGAGAGAGCTGCGCCTGACACCCCACTGTCCACACCACAGCCAGCCAACAGAAGAGGGAAGAGAGGACCCGAACATGGCGAGCCAGCACCACGAGACCTGCCCCTCGTGCACAGAGCCCTCTCCAGGACGGGCCACAGAGCAAGGCCTTGGTGATGTTTACAAAGCTGAAACACGAAGTGCCCTCTGACTACAGTGGGGTGACGTCAGAAATCAGTAACAGGGGAAAACAGAATATTCACGAATCGTGAAAGGTGGACGCTCTTAAAAACAAATGGGTCAAGGAAGAAATCACAATGGAAACTGGAGGACACCTTGAGCCAGACGGAAATGGGAACACTGTCACCAAAACTGCCAGGCGCAGTAGATCAAAGCTCAGAGGGAAATTCACAGCAGCAGAAAGAACCACATCAAGCCGACAACCCAGCTTAACCATCCAGGAAACCGGACAACGAGCAAATGACCCAAAGCAGAAGGAAGAAAACAACAATCAGAGCAGGAAGAAACCAGAGACGAGAGAAACAACACGGAAAACCGAGGAAACCATCAGGCTGGTTCTCTGCAAAACCAACCAAGCTGACAAGTTTTTAGGTGTATTCGTCTGCACAAGAAAGAAGACTCCAATGACTAAAATCAGAAATGGCAGTGCCAACCTTACAGAAACAGATGAGCTCACGAGAACTCATTCCTACACAAATTCCTGCAGACACTTAAGTCACCAAAACTGACTCAAGCAGAAGCAGAGATGGGAGCAGACCTGGAGCAGGGAGGAGACAGAGGAAACCACAGACCCTCTGGACAAGAAAAGCCTCGCTGGCGAGTTCTACCCAACACTCCAGGGAGGATTAACACCGATCCTCCTGAAACGTCAAAAGACCAAAGAGGAGGGAACATTTCAGCTCAGCCTATGAGGCCAGAGACCCCACAAAGGACTAAGGCCAACACGCCTGCGGGACCAGACCTCGGACACGGGTCCCGCAGCACACGAAAGGCTCACACCCCACGAGGCCTGGCCCCCACTGTGCTTCTGGAGCGCGGTGGGCAGCCCACCTTGAGGTCATCTTTGAAGGGGTCAGTGTTGGCGGTGCTCATGCGCAGGGCCAGCTCCAGCAGCGCCTCCAGGCGGGTGGGCGTGATGTCGTCCACCGGCTTCTTCAACTCCTCCTCCGTCAGGTCCATGAAGTGCACGAAGAAGTCGCCTTGGTCCATCAGGAAGTAGCGCTTGATGGACCTGCGAGCGGGCGAAGGTGAGAGTCCGCACCAGCAGGGCCCTGAATGCGAGAACAGCCTGGACTCGCAGAGGCTTCCCGCAACTGGGATGCGGGGTGACGAGGTGGGGCCACGTGGGCCTGGGAGGAGTGCCGGTGCCCACACCCGCCGGTGCCTGAGCTGAGACGTTTACAGGGGCCGAGGTGAAGTGCTCTCTCAGGTGGAGGCACAGGATCACTGCGCCGGGCTGTGCAGGAGGTGCTGCCAGAAAGGTGCGGGTGCTGCAGGTGGGGCTCCAGGAGGGCAGGGGGCCGAGGAGGGGGCTGGTGGCTCCAGACAGGAAGCTATGCCACCGTGGACAGGGTGACACGGGCAGACCCTGCCCTCGCCAGCCTCCAGTAGGACATCTCTGGGATGGCGGGTGTGAGGCCCACAGGCCTCTTCGGGCTGGATGCAGCCTGGCATGCGGCCTTGTTTAAAGTGACAAGTGATCTGTTGCGTCGGCGCCCGACCGCGGGCAGGCACCCAGGGGGACACACACCTCAGGTGAGCTACGAGCTCCTTCTCCTCCATCAGGAAGTCCAGCAGCACCTTGCTGGCATAGTTGAAGGCCTTCTCGATCTGCTCCACATATGCCCGCTCCTTCAGCGTGTAGATGACCTCCTTGGCCACTGGGCAGGTGACATCGTGACCACACTCTCTGACCACATTTAGGTATTTTCCTGGAAAAAGGAAAGCAAGTTTACATTCTTGACGCTCACGGCTAGTCGCAGGCCTGGACCTGAGACAGTGCAGCCCGAATGCCGGCCCGGGGACAGGCCCAGGACTGACTGGGCAAGAATGGTCCTGGAACCGCCCCCACCCCACCGCCAGGGCACAGCAGCACAGCTGCCCCCGTCACGGGCTGACGCGGTGCTGTGGCCTCCCAGTCCAACCAGGGATGCTCGCTTGCCTCTGAGGGCTGGGCTGGGCCAGGGTTGGGAGGGTTTAGTCTGGCTCCGGTGAGGCTTTCTGAAGTGACTGCTGGGCTCTTGATGCAAAAGACCCAGCTCTGACGAGTCATGGGAGGTCACAGCACTGACTGCGTCAGCCCATGACGGGGGCAGCGGTGCCGCTGTGCCCTGGGTGGGGCCGGGCCCCGGATCCGCGGGGACAGAAGCGCCTGGGCTCGGACCCCCAGGTGTCACCGGGGGGCCTCTCCGTGGGCTCTTCACCTGTGCCCCTTACGGTGTCCTTCGTGGTAAAGCAGGCGTCTGGTAAGCGCAGCGCCTCCCTGAGTTCTGGAGGTCGTCACAGCAAACACCGGGCCTGCGGAGGGGTCCCGGGAACCCCACTTGGGCCCACGCTGGACAGAAGTGCTGGCGGCCTGGGACCCGATACTTGTGACCAGTGTCTGCAGTGGGGGCAGTCCGGGGGACCGAGCCCTCAACCTGTGGGGCCTGCGCTGACCTGGGGAGTTAGTGTCAGAACTGGGCATCCACAGGGAACTGGAGAGCTGGCTGCTGGTGTAGAAAACCCACATGTCTGGGGTCAGAGGAGTTGGGGGCAGAAAAGTTTTCCTTTAAGTGGTAACAGTTTTAGAAATTAAGCCACACAGCAACCGTGAGACAACCAGGGGCAGGGAGCACGCGCCCGCGAGCGCCCCGCTCACCTGTGCTGAGGACCTTGCCCGCCATCTTCTGCAGGAAGGAGGGGATCTGGCGCTGCACCACAGTGTACCGCTGGTCCCAGTACTTGTCGTTGTAGTCCTCTTGGATCTTCTCCTTCTGCAGCTCGTGCTCTTCCACCATGAACTCGCTGCAGAGCACAGGGGCCTGCTGGCTGCGGGGCTGTGCACAGCCAAGCAGCACAGCAGAGGCCGCCGTCCAGCCCGGCCTCGGTGCGGGGATTTCTCTGCTGCAAGGGGAGGTGCTCCTGCCAACCTCACTGTGGCCGGACACCCACCAGCCCAGGTGAGAGGACTTGGGGTCTGCAGGGCTGGGGGGCCACCCCCCTCACCCTCACCCCCTCCCATGGGGCCTCACGTTTCCCTCCATCTCAAATGGAGGCAATGAGACACTCCAGTCGGGTACGCGAGCCTTCACGTCAGGGGTCAGACGCCATCCATCCGCGTCACGACCGTGAAAGGGATTCCTTGCTAGGCCCTCACACTTGAGTTTGCTAGCTCGACCATTAGTAAATTATTTCTGGCCAACGAATTCATCTTTTAAATATTTTGACAAACACACATCAACGTGGAATTCTTCGTGCACTGACACGTGTCAGGGTGACGAGGGGCCGCGGACGCGCCCAGGTGCCCCCAGCCCCACCTGTACGGGTCATTGATGACACCTCGGTAGATCCACTTCTCCAGGATTTCAAAGTAGGGCACGCTGGCGGCCTTGGTGAGGTACAGACACAGCTCCTGCGCCTGGCTGTCGCCTGTGTAGCTGAAGCTCCGGTCATGCAGGAGGCTCAGGGTCGACCCCCCGACACACTCGCCTTTATCCACCGAGGTGGCTGCTCAGAGGAGGTGGCGCTCAGTGCCGAGGGCCCAGCAGTCACCATGGCAGACAGAAGCCCCTCAGCTCACCTCCCACCTCCTTACACAGACAGGCTTTCTTTTGGGGATAAACACGAAGCCGCACTGCCTCTGCCTCCCTAGAGCAAGGGGCGGAGGATGGACATCCTGGCCATGTTGCCCCCACTGCCCCAGGGCCCCGGCTCTCCTCTCACCCAGGGAGGCCAGGATGTCCACGGTGCGCATGGCTGGCTGGACATAGAACCAGAGCTTCTGAAGGGACAGGAGACCCTGCCTCTGCAGCTGCTCCAGCTGCGTGACCAGGATCAGGTACTCCTTCACCAGTGTTCTCATGGCAGCCGCCAAGGCGTGGTTCACCTGCCCATACTCGAAGGAAGACTTCTCTTCAATGAATCTGTGGGGAAAGGAAATAGTGAGCACCCCTGAGAGGGTGGGAGCTCGTCTCAGGAGGGAAGGTGGACGACCGAAGCCCCCCTTGCCATCCTCAGGGCACTGTGGACACCTGTCTCCCTCGTGTGGCTCAGCGAGGTAGAGACTTTCCTCAGAAGAGGGCTGAGTGACCTTGACGGGCACCTCTGGCGAGCCTGGCACCAACCTTGTCACGGTGGAGTAACTGGCGGCCACTGGGAGGATCCTGTTCACCAGCTCCCTGATGGACAGGTCCAGGTTGGGGTCCACGAGGAAGGTGCGGCTCTGCCTCCCGGTGAGGGGCTGGGCGGTGATGTACCTGCCGTCCACGCCCACCAGCACATACAGCAGGTCTTCCACGACGGCTGACTCCTGGGAGGTCAGGGGCAGCGTGCCTGTGGGCGCAGACACGGCTGGGGCTCACCTTCCACCAGACCCCCGCTCCCAGCAGACTCTTTCCATTGGCTGCCCTCCGTGTAACTGCCTCTAGTGCTCGTGAATATAGAAACCAAGTCCTTCACTCGACTCGACTGACACCTCTGAACACCAAAGGCTGAGGCCCCAAAACCACCACCAGGAAAGGCGCTGACCCGGCAGCAGGCCAGGAAGAGCCTCGGAGCACTGGGCAAACAGACACCTGCACACGCGAATGAGCGTGCGACATCTAAGAGAACAGAACTAGGGCTTAAAAAGCACCTCTGACCGTATTGTACTCGCGATGCTCACTACAACCTAACAAACCTGGGATAAAAAGGCTTTCTCTGATCACTAAAACGCAGGTGGTTTCTATTGTATGCACAGTCTGAAATGGCTCCGTGACCCCAAAGGACTCAGGGCAATCAAGGCCATGGACCAGGGCCGTCCCCCAAATGCTTCGTAACCTGGACCCCCCTGCCTCTAGGTTCTCGGTCCAGAACGATCCTCAGCGTCCTGCCCAACACCTGCTGGGCACATGGTCACACTAGGACAGGGGCAGCACAGGAGAAAGGCGCCCCAGCCCCGGCTCCCTGCCGAGCCCCATGGGTGCTGTGTCAGCTCAGGACACCCAAAACCAAGGCCTGGCAGCTCGGATGGGGCTCACGGAAGCACTGCTGGCCCCACACGTCTGCAGGCAAGGGAGGCAGGGCAGGCTGGAGCCCAACAGCTGTCTGTCCAGGCACTGGTCACTCGGGGCTCAAAGCTGCTGTCTGAACCTGAGGCTGTTTTTCTCTACAGCTGTGGCGGCCTTCAGATTCCAGCCTCTGTGACCCCCAGAGGTGGGCACGACCGGCTGCCATTCCTTAGCGCAGGGCTACTAACCTAACCTCACACATTTCACCTCCAACCTCCACACTGCCCTCGCCAAGGCCCGGCTGAGGTTCACGGGGAGGAGTCTGCAGCAGTGGGGGAGGGTGCTGACCCAGGGTGGGGAGCTCAGGGTCCTGGCGCAGATGCTGGCCCGGCCTCCCCTGCCCCTGCGTGGAGAGGAGAACATCACAGCCTGTACGAATGGGAGACACAGCCAGCCTGCAGCTGAGCTCAAAGGGACATGGGACGCTCCAGGGTGAGGGGACATCCCACAGAAGTTGGAACGGGAAGCCACACAGAGCCATCAGGATTTCACCGGGGTGCAGGGTCACTAGAGAGGCTTCGCAGGGCAGGCCTGACTCAGAGCCGCACTGGGATGACAGAGAGGGCTGCAGTGGGCAGGACGTGGGCTCAGATCTGCACCCTGACACATTGCCGCTGGCTCCCAAGGCCAAATGAAGGGAAACTAAAACTCGTTTCCCTGCAATGCCAGCCACTCGCTGCCCACCGGCCACAGATGGCTGGGGCACCGCACTGGGCAGAATGGATCTACAGCATGCCTTCATCATGCAAAATTCTGTGAAAGGTGCTGAGCCCTGAGTGGGGAAAGTGGACAGAGGCCCTCTCCTGCAGCTGGAGGGTGGGTGACAGCTGGGGGCTGGGGCCAGGCTAGTGCAGCAGAAGGGAAGCAGATACAGGTGATGCCAGTCACCACGCGGAGGGGAGGGGTGCCTGGGGAAGGTCAGGAGCCCGTTGTGGACACTCTTGGCAGACAGAGGGCCACACACAGGCAGGACTTCAGGAGAGCTGTGTAAGGGACAGAGAGCTGGGGCCCCACTGGGAGCTTCCAATTCCTTAAAACAGACGGGTCACCTTAGGGGGGTAGAATCCATGAGACCCAGGAGCAAAGCGCAAGGACTCAAGATGAGGAAGAGGGAGAAGCAAAATGGAGGCCAGGAAGGGACCACAGACCACCCAGTGTTGCCCGAACATTCAGGGAAATCGTGCTGTGTTACCAGATCTGAGCACAGGGCTCAGTGACCCAGCAAAGGCCGCTGCATGGGAGCCACCTGTGCCTGTGGCCTCGATGTCAAGGCCCTGGGTCAGGGCAGGACTTGTAAGGACGGCAGTTGCTACGCCATCTGGCCGTTGACAGGACGGCCTGGGCAAGCAGATGGAGCTGGAGACCTGTGTGTGGAGGAATGGCCCAGCGTGGATGGGGACCTGCCTCAGCTCTAAGAAGGGAATCGGATGGCAAGGTGACCACAGGGAGGTGGGATGGGCACCACTCAGCCAGCGGGGGGACGTCTAGCATTGCCCACTCCTGGGGGTGAAGCTCTGCCGGGGGAGGCCAAGGAAGGGCTGAGGACAGCCATGCCAACCACAGGAGTCTGAACGTGGACAGGGAAGCGGCCAGAGGGCTGTGGAGGATGCTGCGTCACAGCCTGCAGTCTGGGCCAGGGAGGGACAGGGTAAGAAGGTGACGCGGGCCCAGAGGACCAACACTAACCCCACCTCTGAAACCCGCATAGCGTGGCTGCTGGAGTGACATGGGATGGAACACCTCGAGTTCTCCCAGGGAACGCTGTCATGCAACCGGCCTGGGGACCCCAACAGCGAGGCGCGCCCGTGGCCCGTGTGTGAAAGCATCTGCCTCAGTAGCACAACAACTCCAAATGTAGAAAACTTCCTCGTCGGACACCCAAAGCATGGCCTGCCCTCAAGAGCCAGTGCCTGGGTTCCCCTCCCCGGCTGGGCCTCCCCAGAAGAGGTGGTGCTGGGCCTCCCCAGAAGAGGTGGTGCCTCATGCGAGGCCTGGAACATTGACTCCTCTGACTGATCCAGACACACAAACATGGTGTCAGCAAAGTCCACAGCCACAGCAACGGACTCCCTCAGCAGCTCTTAAACTTCCTTGGCTCCTGCCAGGTGCGCAAGGGAGCCAGTGGCATCTCACCTGCCGGCTCCCCAGGCCGGCAACACGGGGCCTGCCCTACCCACCCTGCTCCCTGCCCTTGGAGAACCTGTGCAGCACAGGCTCCTGTGCCCACGCCTCTCACCTCCACACAGGCTGTGCTGGCGCCTCCCCACGGGCACCGCTCTGCGAGCACACACCATGACGTGTTTCCTCTCAAGTGTGCACCCTGAGCAGGAGGTGAGACACAGCTTCCCACCCAAAGAAGTGCTCGCCAGGTGGGAGGTGCGGGCAAGGTGCGCAAATACCACGTCCCCTCGGCTGTCTGGACCGGACACACGAAGGCCAGCGTGGCAAGCCTGGCACCGCTGCGGGAGAATCTGCAGTAACCATGCCTCGCTGTTTGGAAGGAGGACCCTGGTCATCCTATCGCCCCTAGTCTGCACAGAGCCCGGGACGCAGGCTCTCCTAAAAGCCAGACAAGACCCAGCCCAGACGCTGGCAAGTCACCACCCACTGGTGACTGGGGATAGGGATGTGGAGGATGGCAAAAGGTGGGCATCGTGAGCTGCAGCATGACCAAGGGCAGGAAGGGCCTCGGGGGGCTGTAGCCCTCCCCACCACAGCATCACCAAGCAAACAGATGTGCCTCCAGGTCCCCACTGCCAGAGCTCCAGGCCTCACGCACCTATAGGCACAGCTGCATCTGTGCTCACACCCGAGCCCGCCAGGAAGTCCCCGAGAAGCGTGGGTCTCTCATACACCCAGGCCGGGAAGACTGGGAGGTGTTGGCCCAAATTCTTCCTGTTCTGCTTGTCTCGAAGCATCTTTCTTGTGAGTTCCAGAGACTGGGAAGAATGTTTTTTAAAAACAGGAAAGACACACATAATTTCAGTACAACCACTTAAAACTAACAGGTCTGCAGTATGAAAAGTGGGTCCCTAAGCACACGTGAGGGTCAACAAATACAAGTGGACGTGAGACAAACGTGTCCAAGCCCATCACAGTGCGAGGGGCTGGGGACAAGCCACACGGCCACCCCAAGGAGCCAGGACCGGACAGGAGTGTCTCCAGTCAGACCGGGCACCCACCCGGCTGTGGCAACGTGGTACCTGCTGCCACGTGGGGCCCGTGGCCACGCTGCCCAGCTGCTTCCTCAGCTCCTCCAGCTCCTGCATGGAGATCTTAGAGGCCGTGACTGGGGCATTGAAGTTGGTGGTGCCACTGGTGGCGGTGCTTGCTGCGAGCTCTGCCCTCTCCCTGGCATTCTGCTGTAAGTACTGCAGAGTCTGAAAGCACACAGCACCTGGAGTCCTACGGACCGGCGTGTTTGTGCCCTCCACCGGGCACTGCCAGTCCCTGAGCTGCAGCCCAGTCTCCCAGAGCTTTCTGCCATGAGGTGCCACATCCCCAAATCTCAGGAGGACAGCATCCCAAACTCGTTCCCAACAGCCCATGACTGGCCTCCCTTGCTGCGAGAGACCAGTGGCCAGCGCTGGTGGCCACCCTGTGCCCAGCCGCACCCTCTCCCCAGACCCCAGGCGCATGAAGTGAGTGGAAGCACTGAACGCCCAGGCACCTCGGCACCTCTGCACTCTTCTGAGCATCGTTAAGTAACACATGCTCACTTTAGAACAAAGACACAGCCCGGACCACAGAAACGGAAGTCCCTCCGCCCCAGAGGCAGCGTTAACCACCTTGCGTTTGTCACCAACACGAGTGACTTCCGTTCCGATGCACCTATATGGTGCACGGAGTCCTCTGTGACCTCAACGCGCTACAGGTGCAAGGCCGGGAAAGCTCAAGGACAGGTGCCTGGGTCAGAGAGCAGAGGTCAGGTGGCCCCACGGCTGTCACCCCAACCGACAAGCTGCATGGCCTAGCATGACCCCACAAGGACACACATCCATCTGTCTTTCTGAGACACAGAGAGGTCCTTCCAACCCAGCCGAGCCAGCACCCACCTCTCTGTCCTCCGTGAGCTTCGACAGCAGGTACACCAGGGGGTCAAGGTTCCTGGTGTTCTTTGATTTCAGTTCATCGTATTTCTTCAGGAAGTCCTCAGGAGTACGAGAAAACTCTGCTATTTTAACCTCAAAAGTATAGATAGAGGGACTCAGTGACAACAATCGGGAATCTTAAAAAATCTTGTAGAAAACTAAACCCAAAACAGCAATCAGAGTGACGTCAGGCAGATGGAACAGTCCTAAATCTCCAAAATAAAACTGAGCAAATGCACTGAAATTCCTTGTCGAACTCCGCACTCTCCTCTGAGGTTCCTCCCTCGTTTGCTTCCCCAGCCTGAGCTGCGACCTCCCAGAATTTGTCTACACATTTAACTCTGTTCCTCTGGAACTCATCACTACATACAGGTTCACGGTTACATTTTCTCATTACCTAAAATACCCACTTATAATATGCTAGATTTCACTGTATGTCCTAGACTCTCTAGTCTGCTCAGTAAATGTTCTGAATTATCCCTGTGCTGTTATTAGACTATTTAAATAAATGAAGGTTCACAACGGGTTTCTAAAGTAGATTTCAAAGTCATCTTTTACTGAGGTATAATTCTGAATTACATACTATTTTAATAAAGAAAGAAAATCTACTTTAAAAGGATTTAAATGCAGTTAATGCCAGGAGCCTCCTTTTCACCCATGGGAATATCTCTGTGTCGAGATGTGAGCAGAAATCAGGACTATCTGTGTCTTCCTCCTCAGGGGGTACAGGGAGGCTGTGTTTCAGAGACTGAGTCTGAGGTCAGGCAGACAGCCCTGCGTCCTACCTGAGCCTCACTGCCTCGTCTGTACAACAGGCTGACTGACGGGGCCGCTGAGGAGTCAGCAGGAGTGCTGAGCAGAGCACACGTCCGCGAAAAGCATCTGTCAAGTGCTGCCTGCCACCAGCACTGGCACTGCTGAGGCTGCCCAACAGGGGTGTAAACTCCGGGACGCGCACTCACCTTGGCACTGTGTGCAGACACAGTGGTTGTGACATACGGGGTCCTGTTCTTCTGCAGCAGGTCAATGTAGACCTCGGCCCCATCACCCCCGCGGACCCGCAGCAGGCTGAGCAGCTCGTTGACGTCATGGTGAATCCGAAACTCACTCATAGTCTTGGCTCTGCGACAACATCACAATGTGTTCTCCTTAAAGTAAGAGGAAAGACACTTATAAAAATAAAACCCATAAATAAAAAACCTTTCAAGTAACTGAATCTGGCCAGTATCAGGTCTTTGGGAAGCCAAACTGTCACAGGGCCCAGCCTGGCCCACCAGTCCTCCATGACAGGGCCTGCCCACCCCCAGGCGGGGCTCATTCCTAGGGTGAGTCCTCCTTGCCCCCCAGGTGGCACCCGCTAGTGTGTTCTGTCATTTCTTATTGGAGGCTGCCTTCAGTGGGCAGCTCCTTGTGGGAGCCCAGAGTTTCCGCACCTGCTCCTCAGCTCAGGGAGCTGCTTGTGCAGCCAGTGAGAGTGTGGCCCCACCGGCCTGGGCCCCTTCCTCCTGGTGACTCCAACCTCACATGGCCCTGGGCCAGCAGGCAGCTGCTCCCTTGGTCAGCATACAGCACCTTCCTGTCCCTTCTCGCTCTAGCCATGCAGACACAGGGGTCCTGGCCCTCGGGGGTCCTGGTCTACACAGGTAGCTCCACACAGGCCTAAACCACTGCCCTGGCCAGGTTCCCGCCGTGACCCCGCATCTGCAGCTGCGTTCACCCTCCAGTTCTGTGTTTGCACTCCGGTGCCTCGGACGCTGCCTTTTCTGGCCCAGGCGTGGTTTTTGCTAAGATTGCGAAGCATCTCCTGCACACTTGAGCTGAGTGCTTCAGCCAGACCTGCCCTGTCCACTGGATGTCCACAGGACTCCCCATCGGACGCACAGCCCACTGGGGTCAGGACTGTAACTGCAATCCCACCCGGCAGACAGTGGGGGACTGCCCAGGGACTTCTGTCTTCCCCTGGATGACCCGTCCAGTCAGCCATTATTGTGGTGGCACAGGCAATTAGCCAGAGATTCAAAAAATAAACACGAACAAACTTTACATACTTCACATAAACATTTCAGTGCATCTCCACAGGGTTCATAATGTTGGTTCACCACCACCAAAAAAGACTCTTGGAAATGACAGGCAAAATCATTTCTGTCTGTGAGTTTTCTGAGAGGTCTTTCAACAGATAATCAAAGGCTCTGTGACCCAAAAAAGGTTAAGGACCACGGTGCCACCAGCTCCACTGAAGACGAGCCCCGCGTCAAACATCAGGCCAGGGAGGCTCAGTCCCCTCCCGCCGCACGAGTGTTGACCCCTAACTCTCCCATGAGACAGAGACTCTGACCTCGAGCGACGGAAAACAGGGTCTCGGTGTGCAAATCTGAGAGTCGCGGCACACAAACGTCAAACGCTGGCCAGAAGCAGGGCACCTCCAAACAGGACAGAACAGCGAGCGCGAGCCGCGCGGATGTCGCCAGCACGCGCGGGGTTAGAGCAAGGCACCGGCTGCGGCTCCTGGCCGGCCTCAACCCCGACCCGGTGCTCCCCGGCTGCAGGGCCCTGGGCAAGGGGCTTGCCCTCCCTAAGTTTCCTGAGAAACACCACCCGAGGGCTTCGCGCAAAGGAAGGTCACAACAAAACGCGAGTTTTCCAAAGACCCCTGGGCTCCAGTCCGGGGGCAGTTCTGGAGACAAGGTCGGTCCAGGGGCCGCGGCAGCCCCTCAGGTGGGAGACGGCGGCGGCGGCCGAGGGTGGGAGAGAGGGAGCCCGCACTGCTCGGGGCTGCGAGCCGCCCCGGGACCCCGACCAGCGCCCCCAGGCTCAGGCCCCGCCGCCCCCGCCCGACTCACCGCAGGCGCCGCGCCCGGGGCCAGCCCGCCAAGCCAGCCAAGCCCGCCGCGCAGCCTGCGTCGCCCGCGCCGGAAGTGGTGCGTGACGTCACATCCGGCCCCGGCCCGGCCGGCTTGCGGACGGGGGCCGACAGGCTGTGGCGGCGCCGGCGCGCGGGGCGATGCAGCTGCC